CGCTCCGTGGAGGGGCGGGGTGGGGGGGATTTTCGTGTTGGTTTTATTTGGCGTGCCTTCTAAGCCTGTGAATGTAGGATCCCTGCAGCGCTCAGGGGCGTCTGCCGGGGAGATCCTGAGGATGCAAAACGTTGCGAGCTGCCGGGATTTACCACCCGTCTGCGCGCTCTGGGGGAGGAGGATGGGCAGAAAGGGCATCAGATCCAGCCTGGAGAGGGGAGGAGCACAGGGAACTGCCTGTTTGTTTTAAATTTGTAGATACAGATCGTTTTAGCAGAAGACGACCTTTCTGTAACGCTTATGTTGCGTTTCATTCAGCAGTTTCAAGAGCTGTACTGCATATGCAGCTGTGCTACGTATGTAGCCTTAAAGACGCCGAGGACAGAGATGGGCACCCTCTTCCTTGCTTATCTTGTCCTGAAAACCTAGGATGGTATTTGCTGCTTGCGTTACTGCCCTTGAGCTCCGGGTTTTGAGCTGGCTGTGCAGCACAAGCCGTAGGCTCTCTGAACATTGCGCTGTTGCCGGGTGGGGGGACGGGTGGGTTTTGAGACCTGGAGCCCCTCTGCCTGCTCTGCACCCCGTGCTGGAAACAGGTGCCAGGAACATGCAGTGGATAGTTTTCACCTTCATCTCTCCAGCGTGCTGCTCCTGACACCAGATGCCTGCTCTGCGTAGGGATTATCAGACGCTTTACGCGGGGACATTGATCAGCTGCTTTTATATCAAGCGCACGCGTTGTGGTTTTCAGTGTTTTGCTGTGAGATGATACTGACTCAATAAGGACTGGTGTATCTTTGAGGGAGGGAGGGTGGAACAGATCAGCCTCCTTGCTGCTCTTGTGCCCTGGGAGTTATCTTTAGCAGATTTAATCTGCAAGGTTTGGGACTGGATGCAGTACTGGCCTGAGCCTTGTATGAGTCACTGATACTGTTTCAAAATGCTGCTGGGTCAGAGTGGTAATGCAAACCTGTTGGGCCTAATGCTGTGCGTGCTGCCTCCACCAGCTTAAGTTCATGTATTGAAACCAGAAGTGGAATTTGAACTTGCTTTACTGCTCTGGAAGAAAATGAGTTAATAGCAGATCCAATATAGAACTGGCTGCAGCAGCAAATTCCTGGCTTCCCTTCTTAAGCTGCCCACTAACACCTGGCCTTCTACTTTAGAGGAGCTTTTTCTGTGGTTGAGCTTGGCTAAATCTGTGTCTTTTTCCTTTACTGGAATCCTAGGACAGGAAATCTGTCTCCTGATAGCCAATGCGCCCTGAAGATGCTAAATTCATTCAACATTAGCCACCAGATGGCAACCATATTTTTAGGTAATATTAAGGTAGATGAGAAGGGTTGAGTTGCTGGGTTGCTGGTGAAATTACTATGCTTGCTGGTGCAGCTCGGAGCCAAATGTAGCCTGCTAGGTCCTTCCCTTGCTTCTTATCTGAACACCTGCATGCCCTTTTCCTAGGGAGAGCTTTTCCCTTGAAGTCCTCACGACTAGATATCCTATTCACTTACTTGGTTGTTCCCTGACAGTGACTGGGGATGTAGCAGGAGCAATAATAAGACTGTAGTGCTTAGCTGCGTATTGCAAGGAATTTATGTGATCTGAGATCGCTTGTTTGTGTCTTTACACAGAAAAAGCATGGTTACTTTCCCTATAGGGAAAAAAAGAAAACAAAGGCCAGTGCACTTGCTTAATAAGTTAACACAAATCCTAGGCCCTTCAGCTGTTATAATCTTGATATAAACAAAACAACTTTGCTTTCTGGACTTCAAAAAAGGAAAAAAATGATTTTTGCATGCTTTATCACCTGACTGGCTTCTACATAATACTTTAGCTTCCTCTTTAATGATACCTCTATTGTGGGGTGTGAGGGACTTTAACCCTTGTCTCTAAAGACTGGACTAGTCACTGAGGCAGGTTTATATATGTGAACTTCCAGCTAGCGAGGAATAATACAACTGAACATGATATGAAAAGATGGCATCAGTGATTATGGTACTATGTTGGTGTTAATCATATTGTATGTTCTTTCAAACCGTATATTTGTGTTACTGTGTGTTTAGCAGGAGGGATAAGCTACCAGTGTGTATGCTTAGAGATAAGGACCAGGTGGGTGGTTTTTTAAGGCAAAAGTGTGCTGAGGTAAATCTGGCACACAACAGCCCAAGCGCTTAAATGTGTTAGAAGAATATTCTGAAGGGATGGTGAATGGGGTTTAACTTTCCATTTTGAGGCTTAAACTAACTGACAGTGTTCCTTTTACGTATCCTCTTTCGATTTGAATTTAGGATCAAAATTCTTCCCTTCAGCATGATTCTCTCCTCCCCGCCCTGCTCCCCAGCCTAGCTTGAGCCCTGAGGCTTTGACCTCAGCAATTTCCCTCTTGATGAATTTAAGCCTTGTGTTAAGCAAAGAATGATGTCTTGTTGTTCAGTGCAGAATTTGCACTGAAACACTGTACACATCCTCTTCTCCCTTCTGAGATGGCTATTATGTAAAGTATGTAAGATATTCCTTCAGAAGTACTGTTTGTTTTGAGCCTTTCAGCAAAACCATTGGCTATTTTTGGAAGATGCTTTCTCAATTCAACAGGAAATATAGGGCAGAATGGTTGACTATGCTGTTTGCAAATGGGCTGTGCACCCTTTTAACCTCTTTTTCTATTGAAACGTGACCTCAAGTACAATACTTCACAAGAATTTGCCCACTGTCCAGAGATCTGTATTTAATAAGTTGTTGCCTCTGTCAAGAGGAATCTACCTAGCAAAAAGGACCCATGCAACCAGTGTTAATTCTTACCATGCTTTGCAACTAGTGATTAGGAGATTCAAGCTGGAAGTCATGTGAATTGGTTCTTTCTCCTCTGTGCTGAGCTGTACAGCAAGAGAGTTGTTCACTGTGATTGTTCATCCTGTAGATAGCTGCAGGATTTTCAGACTGAGGCTTTAAGCTCTGAACCTTTCATAGGTTCTGAATTACTTAAAAGGGAGTAAAGGTTTGGTGCCTAAGACATATCTTGGAGAGAACCTAGGGTTCGTGTGCTCTTTAAACTTCCTCAGTAAACACTTGACAGGACTGGGAGGCTTTTTCTTTGCATCTAATAATCCAACCTCTGAATAAAAATATGCAACTATGTGATCTATTTTTGTCTTAAGTTTTGGAAATTTTTTAAAACGTCCAGAATTTGTGATCCTCGTTCTGTTTGAAGAGTGTCCTGTTTTTACAACCTTACTATTTTGAACAAGTTAAAATAAAGACTCAGTGATAGTGCCTCAGTCTAAAGACTCAGACCTAGTGTCATAGTTACTACTCTGTGAGGTTGCAGGAGGGGCTGAATTCATGGAGCAAATAAATTGAGGGGTAGTTTTTGTTGTTGTTGCTCAGCTGGCAGTGAGATGCCATGTTACAGGATCAACCTGTTTGCTTTACTCCAGCATCTCCTTGTGTTAGGCAGAGATTCAGAATAGAGGGAGTTAGGTGAGAGCACGCTGATTGAGGATTTCCATTGTCTAGAGATTAGCAAACAGAGCTGAGGAGACAAATAGTGAAGTTGAAGTAAGAAGGAGAGATTTTTTGCTGTTGAGAGGAGTAGAAATGGATGAATTTCTTCTTCCCTTTCTAGATGTAGAGCAAGTGTGGGAAGTTTCTATCCTGGTAGGAGCCAGAAATCTCTTGCTCCCTTTTCATTATTACAAAGCAGGGTCAAATTAGAAGTCTGAAACCTGGGCTCTGTGGGGCACGTTCTTCTGTGACGTTAAAGAACGAAAGAGAATGATAGTCTATTAAATCTGGCATACTAACAAACCTTTACTAACAAGTTGTGTCCTTTCTCTTTCTCCATCGCTAACCACAGGGGGAAGGATTCATTCTAGGACCCAGCTAAGCTTTGTTTGGACCACCCTTGTGTTAGGGAGTGTGACTTAGGTCATAGACTCTGCTGCAGACTTGTTGCATTGCTGTGAGTTGTCACTTCTTTCTGTGCTTGACTTATTTCATCTATCCCACCAATATTTACCCATCTCCATCTTGGCAAAGTTTCTCTGATTAAACCTGGGAAAAATTCTGGTCACATCTGGCTATGCACTCCAAGGAAGTTGGGCTGTATTCATCATCTCATAGGGCTAGGATGACCATAGCTACTTTTAGCCAGCCTTGCTAATACTTTTTCCTAATCCACTACAGAGCAAAAGGATTTGTATGCCAGTAGACCAAAGGCTTCTCTGAAGAATTTGTAACTCAGCCATGCTAAATAACCAAGGACATTGGCCTTGAGAAGGAGGGCGGAGGACTGCCCTTGGCAGACCACTGTCTGATGTCCCAATACTTTTTCCAATTAACTTGTCTCTCATAACAATTGTAGTAGCACAAACTCTGTCAAGAAAGGATCTTTTCCTTTCCCAGAATGTTAGGCTTTTTTCTTTCCCTTCCTTATCCCTTGCTGAACGTGAGGAGGTTGTGGTTTGGGTGGAACAGAGTTTGCCAAAGGCACGGCCTGCATTCTGAGGTTGCCCTGATAAGATATATGTGTGTGTGTGTGGTGGTGGTGGTGGGGGGGGGTTGGTGTGTTTTTTTTTTTTTTGTTACTGTGTTTTTTTTTTTCCTTAAACCACCTGTAAGTGCAACATTGCACTCCAGGTTTCTCAGCTGCCGTCTTAGCCCTGTTGAAGCAGGTGGAAGTCCCTACCAAGGAACAGCACCCAAAAACCTGAAACCAAGTTTAAATGCAGCCATCTTCAGTATTCAGCTGTCAGAAGCTGCCTGATAAGTAGAACCTCAGCAGATAGGGAAGGAGGCTTTAAATAAAAAAAAAAAATAATAGATTCAAACAGCTCTTTTATTGAGGGGAAAAAGTGACACATATATCTATGTGAGAGGAGGAAAATCCCATACTGATTTTTGCTTTGGGATCCTTCCGTCTCTTCAAAGCCTGTATGGTGTTTACTTGGCTTTGCATAGGGTAGGATGGTGTGGGGTAGTATGCCTTATTCTGTCAGGGAGGTAAAAAAAGATTGATAGAGCCTGAAGAGCTGGAAGAGTTGTTCCCAGCAAGAAACAATTTCTTTTTTTTTCTTGGAAAAGTTCCCAGAAGACAAGGAGAGGACTTTTTAACTTTTTCTATTAGCTTGGTTTCTCAAGAAGGCAAGTCTTAGGTGACAAGGGTAGGATCTCAAAGATCGTATAGGTCTAAAGAGTACTTGAAAGCATGCACTGGGTAGAGGAGGGAGATCTGAGTTAATGCTCCTAACATACAGATGGTTCCAGTATGAGCTCAGACTATATTACTGGGTATCAGATAATCTGCATGGGAAGGGGAGGCAGGTGGGGTGGGGGAGTGAAATAGGAAACCAGGCTCCACATGTTCTCCTGCCCGTGGAACAGTTTGATTTGCAGGGCATTTATGGTGTCCTGGGGAAGGCACCTCTCTACCTGTGG